TAAGAAGAAAATTAACCCTAATTAACCTAACACTGTTACAGACTGTCTTGCTTTCCTAGTGACAGACACAGGGTGAGATGGATAAGCTGCAGTTTGGCTGCGTGCTCCTTCACGTAGCACAGATACTTTCTGCTCACGGTACGCTGGAGAGTTTGTGCATGCCTGGGAGCAAAAAGGAACCGGATGGCTCCTGATTCAAGTCACAAACATCATATAGGAAATAAAACCACAGAGAAAAGCTGTCCAGGTTATGAAATTCTTCATTAAAGCTGAGCTAATAATATCTAGTTTATTTTCTTTCTACAGACAACGGCAAAGCCTTTTAGCTCTTAAATATAGTGGATATTCCACATACAGACTTCTTCAGGGGCCTTGGCAGAGGACAGATGACAACCTGTCGCTCATGAGGGTAGCAGTAGTTGAGGCAAAGCAGACACCAGGGAGGTGTGGAGCTCTTGGAACAAGACTGTTATTGTTTCTTAAACAGAATCAATGAAGTGTTTTCTGGGTGTGAAACACTGAATTAACTCTTCATGACTTTTGCTGTGTTTGTCACTAAGGCCGTGTCCTTGCGATGTTCCCTTCTACTAGTGGGGTGGGTGGGGAAAAAAAGGACAAAGCATCAACGTTGCCTTTTGCTTTTCCAGTGAACTTACCTGGACTGAAACTGCATTCTCTTCCAACTTCTCAGCACTTCTGTAAACCGACTTTAAAACAAAAAATGCTTTTAAATTGTGTCTGACTTAGGGTATTAGACTGTCAAAGACTGATATTTCTCAGAATAAGTGTAGAACTTAGCCTCCAGGCTAGAGAGCCTCTAGATTTACCTGCTTCCCATAGATCTGTTTACAACTAACAAGTCTGTTTCTGCAGGTTTCAGAGTACAGCTGGGACACTTGGTAACACTGTCCTTGTCCTTCCTTCCCGTAGGGATACGCTCCACCGCCAAAAAATGGAATTGAACAGAAGCGGCCTGGGCGCCCCTTGAATATAACCTCTCTAGTTAGGTTGTCATCAGCAGTGCCAAACCAGATCTCCATTTCCTGGGCTTCTGAAATTGGAAAGGTAAACTCTGTGTTCTCTAGGATGTGGAAAGTGGTCTAAATAACCTCAACTAGCGTTCCTCCTCCCCTTCTGCCTGGTGTTGCTGGCAAGTGTTAAGTGTCTGAACTTATTATCAGTACCAGGAAACAAAAGTTTGCTCGATAAGTATGGTAGTTTACAGTAACATACATAAGATTTGCTTATGGATGACAAAGACTTCCTTATAGAATTCACATTTAGAAAGCCTGCCGTGAGAGGTTGCCTGAAATGTGTGTCACAAATACCAAAATATTTTTGTGGGGTAAATAGTACAAAACAGTTCAGATGGTGACAAAAGTAACGAAAGGAAAACCTGCTTTCTTCCATGTAGCCTGATGGTGTGAAAAAATAAATTGTGCAGCCTTATATTCTAAAGGCATGTTTCTCAGTATCTGTTGTAACTGTTCATTGGAAAAGGATTTTTAAACAGATCAGATATGCCAAGGCTGTGGGGGTGGAGAGGTGCGTTTGCTTTTGAGGTTTTTGTATTTTCTACCAAAGCCATACTAAGTAGTTTTAAAAAAGCAGTTTCTGTTTCATAAGAAGAACTGGTTAATGGATGTTTCAGTCTCTATTCTTTTGAGTTTCCTTTTTTTTTTTTTTTTTACTTGAAAATGGCCTCTCTATGAGTTGATTTAAAATTGAACTTGCAAATAAAACAAAACAGGGGTGGAATTTCCAGCTCAGAAAGCTCTTAGATGGTGGGTTGCTGGGAAGGATTTACTGGGGAGGTGTCAGGCTGCTGGTGCCAGCTGTTTCTGGGCTGGCAGATGGATCTCAGACATGCTTAGTTGGACCGTACCCGTGGGGTGTGTATGTTTGTGATGCAGGATATCTGAGCAGTCTGTGCTTTCTTACAGGTGAAGAGTGTCCTGAAAGTTTGGGTGATGTGAGGCAGAAGTCACTTAGTGTGGGGAAGGATGAAGAGCTGGGGGGGAAATAAAAATTAAGCCTCTTCATAATACAAATGTAAACTTACTGGAAAGCTGTAGTGGGGGAGAAGTGGCGGGAGATACAGGAGGTGGTGACTGAAATGTGATGTCTGTTGCTTTCTAGTGCCTGCAGTCATAATCATAACTGAAAGGTAATTAGCCTTTAATATGGCTGTGTGGCTGTTCAGAAATCCCCTTATGGATGTAGTAAGGAAAAAAAGGGGAGAGTGTGAGGAATTTCTGAATTCTTCCTAGGTTTAAATAGCTGTTGCAGCAGCCTTTTCAGCTGTTGGCGAGTCAAGAACTACTTATTCCTTTGTCTGTGGCTAGTTGTGTAAATCCTGGATTCAATAGTCAAAGTAACTCACTTCTTATTTTTTCTTCAAAATCTGTGGATCAGAGACGTAACAAGTTTCAAAGTCAGATTTCAGTATAAGCTTTTATACACTAAAATTTAAGAAAAGAAATGGGAGAGAAAGCTCATGTTCAGCAAACAGGGTAGTGCTGACAGCAAAGTTTTTTTCCTAAAACAGAGGTAAGAGGAAAGATCCCTGAGCCATTGCTTCCCAGTCAGAAGGCACAAGAACCTTGAAATGACTGCAGGGTTGTGTGGGGTCTCAGCCTCTCCCTCTGTCCCCTGCTTTCTTCCTCCCCTGTATCTGCCCAAACACATTCTCATGGAGGCAGATGAACTGGAGGTTGTCCCAGCGTTCCCCTGAGAGGTAAAGTGAGTTCTTTGGTTTAATGTTGGTGCTCTGGTTTAAGTATCAGAACTCACACAGCAAGCCATCGCTGTTCATCCTCTGAACGAGGCCCTTGGGGACAGTGTGGAGTGTCAGCAGGCTCACGGGGTGAGGCACGTACCTGACTGATAGCGGAGGGTTTCTGAGCACAGGAGGCTTTAATCCCACAGAGGTGGTCAGACTTGAGCCTGTGGAATTAATTTTGTTGGTAATAAACAGTGCAGAGCATGGTCATTCCTTAAGGAAATAGAAAATAATCCTTTTTTCTTAGTGTTTTCCCCATGCACTTAGATAACTTTATCTGTTCATTGAGGTAAGGGCTGGTTTTACTCTGAGTGGTAAAGGAGGAGCAGGGCAGTAGGAGTTCTTGTTTAAAATCCTTGTGCAGTACCCAGATAAAACCAGTATTATTCTGGAGTAGTGGGACTTGCAGAATTGTTTTCTTCATTAGTGACCTTGAAGAAAGAATGAACACTGAACAAAAGAAGCTGGCACGTGGTGTGAATCAGAGAAGAGCAGTCAATGCTAGGGAATGTGCCCATCCTCAGAAGAGTGGGTATGGAATAATGAAGCTTGGCTCAAAAGTGCAGAGCAAGCTAAAGAGAAGGTACAAAGAAACGGGTGCAGCTGTGTGCCGTGTGAAGGTGGTGTTTTTGCACCTGAAAGAGCATTCATCTTTTGTCTCATGATTGTCTTTGAGCTCCCCACTAACAGACTGACACTGAAAAAAGGGAAGAATTTAACAGACAAATGTGAGAAGTTCTTAAAGACTGCATGTATGAGAAGGTGTGTCACCACACTAAATCATCTCTGCAAGAAGAGAGCCCAGATTGGAGCAGCTCTGCTGTGAGGACAGGCTGAGAGAGTTGGGGCTGTTCAGCCTGGAGAAGAGAAGGCTCCGGGGAGATCTTATAGTGGCCTCCCAGTACCTGAAGGGGCTCCAGGAAGGCTGGGGAGGGACTTTGGCCAAGGGCAGGGAGTGACAGAACAAGGGGTGATGGCTTGAAAGTGGCAGAGGGGAGATGGAGCTGAGGGGTGAGGAAGAAATTGTTTAGTGTGAGGGTGGTGAGCCAGTGTCCCAGGTTGGCCAGAGAAGCTGTGGCTGCTCCTCCCTGGAAGTGTTCTCGGCCAGGCTGGATGAGGCTTTGAGCAACCTGGTCTAGTGGAAGGTGCCCCTGCTGCTGGCAGGGGGGTTGGGACTGGATGAGCTTTAAGGGCCCTTCCAAACCAAACCAGTCTGGGGTTCTATGATTGTCTCTTGGTTCTGGAATTACTCTTCTTAGTTAACTCCAGTTACAACTGGACTTGATTGTCAGGAGAATTCTGACAGAGGATTGGATTCTTTCAGAGTAATGGAGGAATCTGTCAATGCTTTTCAGAACTATGAAACACAAAATTGGCACGGTTTTGCTTTTACTGTATGCTACAGTTAGCATAAATAGTAATCTGTTGTCATAGTGGAAGTACTGTATTAAATCAGTATTTCATTTTTAATCACTCTTTTTGTAGAATTACTCCATGTCTGTGTATCTCGTTCGTCAGCTCACTTCAGCTATGCTTTTGCAGAGGTTAAAAATGAAAGGTATCAGAAACCCCGATCATTCCAGAGCACTAAGTAAGTCAAATTAAATTTGCTTGTCTGTACTTATTGAGGGTGGTTGGTGGTTTTTTAAAACCAGAAGTTGTTAATACTTGGGGAATTTGCAGAATTTTGAAACTTCTTTCCAGTGAGGGTGACAGAGCCCTGGGACAGGCTGCCCAGGGAGGGTGTGGAGTCTCCTTCTCTGGAGACATTCAAAACCCACCTGGACGCCTTCCTGTGTGATCTCATTTAGGTTCCTGCTCTGGCAGGGGGGTTGGACTGGATGATCTTTCGAGGTCCCTTCCAATCCCCAACATTCTGTGAAAATAGAGTGTCCCAGAGTATGAAGGGTTCCCTTTGCTGTCGCTGAGGCATCATGCATGTTTTCAGTGAGGGTCCCTGTGCCGCTAAGGAGGCACACCTAGAAATCCCATCTGAAAATGTTCTTATGGGAATGCCATGAGCTCCACTTGCTGTGGTGGGCTGTGAGGGACATTCTCTTCACTTTGCATATGATGCTGATTGTCTTTGTCCCTCACTCACTGATGATTGGATTATTGACCTCTTGGCATGTCGGGTTGAGTTTGCTCTACTAACCATTGTGGCTGTTAGTGCATCTGCCACACATCAAACGTGATGCACCGTCTTTGCCAGTTGCTTATAAACAGTGAAAATATTGTTGTTTGATATTGCTGTGAATGTTTCCTAGATGCTTAGTTTTTTTTAGATAGCTGGAAATAAAGTACATGTACTGGCAAATCCAAGGTTAGCATTTTAAATAATGATGTCTGTGTATAACTTCTTATTTTAATAGTTAAAGAAAAACTAACTGCGGATCCTGATAGTGAGATTGCCACAACCAGTCTGCGGGTATCTCTGATGTGTCCTGTGAGTATGGCTGGAAATTTCCTTATACAGAGTGGTATTTTCATTGTTAGTGCAGAGTTGGGCTGCTTTGAAGAGGCACCACTTTAGAAACTTCACTGGCTTTTGTTATGTACTGGTTCATTAATATAAAATAGCGGGGAGAAGGGTGCTCACAAGCACCTGATTGTAGCAGCGTTCAACCAGCTATGGTTTAGAGCTGTGAATGCCTCAGTTGTAACACAGTCAGAATCAAATTGCTACTCATGTATATAGTGAGGTCTTTAGAAGGAGTAATGTTGTATATTGAGACTGATTGGGCAAGGTTACAGAATAATTAAAGGATACAGTGATCAATAAAACTTCAGTTCTCCTCATCTTGGTGGTATCGCTTGCACTGCCAGCCACTGTAGCAAACAAAAATGTTGATTGCTGTGTAACAAGGTAATGCAGCCTTGGGGTTCCCCTTCCCGGGTAGGAACTGGCCTTGTGTTTGTGACTGGTCTGTTAAGTTAAATGTTAAAATGGGTATTGTGCCATTCTGAGTCTGACATAACCAGAGGTCACAAAAACCCTTTAAATATTTGGCTAAAAGAAAATGATAAAAGTGGGTGCTTCACCAGGTCTTTTAATAAAAATTAAACCCTAGAAATAAATGTTGATGGAGGTCCATCAGAAATGTTTCTGACCGTTTGCAACTCAGTGAAGACTTTGAGGGTGTCTTTATCGATCGTGTAAGCTCACTGGATGTGCTTTGGTAGGGTGGATTTGCCTGCAGCAGCCTTAACACTGGGCACCTCTGTAGTGAGAAGAGACAGCGACTTCACCGACTGCCTCTTGATTTCATTGTCTTCTCTTCTGACCCTCTTTAAATGCATCTCCTGCAGCTGGGAAAAATGAGACTGACAATCCCTTGCCGGGCTGTTACTTGCACACACCTGCAATGTTTCGATGCTGCTCTTTATCTTCAAATGAACGAGAAGAAGCCTACCTGGATCTGCCCTGTCTGTGACAAGAAGGCAGCTTATGAGAGCCTGATATTAGATGGGTAAGAGGCTGGGTTTGCAGATTACACCATTACTTAAAATTTTTCATGATGTTACTGATAGCTACTTCTATGACTTGAGGTTTAGCCATTTCATGCTATTTTCTTTGTTAAAATAGTTTAGACTGGGAGGAACCATTAGACTCTATTAGTTTCTATTACTTAAGTTTACCACCTAGATGCATCATTGAACTCTTGAACCTCAGCATATTTCCTCTGGGGAAATCCAAACGTGACATCTAAGGATAGATCTCCCTTATACATTACCTTGTCTCTGAAGCTATTAACTTTAAAATTTAACTTTTAGCTCATAAACAAGTGTGTAGCTTGATTCAAAGGATGATGATTTCTGCTTCTGTATGGAAATCTATGAATTGCAGTAATGTTGGAGTGGAATCATAGAATCATAGAATGGTTTGGGTTGGAAGGGACATTAAAGATCATCTGGTTCCAACCCCCCTGCCAGCAGCAGGGACACCTTCCACTAGACCAGGTTGGTTTCTAGTGTCTGGATGTCTGTGAAGGCTGTTAATTATGGGCTTTCAGGTAAGATGAAGTAGGGAGAGAATACCTGCAGTGGGTCAGAGATGATCATAATTAGCTTTTCAACTGTGTCTCCTTTTCACAGATTTAAAAAATTTCAAATTTCAATTTCGGAAGTTTAGAAAAATTTCACTTGGAATAAAAAATGAAACCACTCGACTTTGTTTTTCAGGCTCTTTATGGAAATCCTTAATGAATGTTCAGATGTGGATGAGATCAAATTCCAAGAAGATGGTTCCTGGTGCCCCATGAGGCCAAAGAAAGAAGCTGTGAAAGTCTCAAGTCCACAGTGCACCAAAATAGAAAGTACGTACATCTGCGTATTGGCTGCAAAGCAACACAGAGTCTTGGAGACTCAGTTGTAGCTTGGATAATGTGTATGGATTGTGGAGGGCTTAGTACTTCTAACCTTCCTGTAAGTTAAACTGAAAAGAAAGGGTTGTATTTCTAAAAGCGTGCATTTTTGGGGCTTTTTCTTTGCTCTTTATAATAGTTAAGAAAAATGAAAGGTTGCTCTTGTTTTAGGTCGTTAAACTGATAAGGGAAGATTAAAGCTTGTGCTTTAATATTCTCAACATGGTACAGAATGGTAATAAAACAGCTCCTGGGCAATAATGTTCTTTGTAGTAGCCAGGAAAGTGAGTTAAAACAGAGTTTGAGTTCCTGGTTCTGTTGCAAATAGAACCAGCTGATATCAACAGCCTTTAAAAAACCAGTGATATTTGATTTTCTTGTTTAGGTTCCAGCATTGTTAGCAAACCGTGTTCTGTGACGGTGGCCAATGAGGTAAACAAGAAGAAAGTTGATGTTATTGACTTGACAATAGAAAGCTCTTCTGATGAAGAGGAAGATCCTCCCGCCAAAAGGAAGTGCATATTTATGTCTGAAACACAAGGAAGCCCAACCAAAGGGTTTGTCAATTTTAAAGTTAGTTGTTATTCTGTAATGTCTCAGATAAACTGATGTGTATCCATTTACAAATGGACTTGTCATCTCTCTCCGGGATCCAGCTCCACACTTCCAGAGGTGACTCTCTAGGCCTCTCCTTGCAGAAAGTTGTATTGATCCAGTACCTTTGTACAGGCAAAACGTTATTAAATAGTTTTACGTCTCACAAAAGACTTTGCGCTGACTGTTGCTGTGTTTGCAGGGATATTTCTCCATAGAAAAGGAAGCTGGTTAATCTAATGGACAGGATTCTCCTGAGAAAGCAGATTATACCCAGTGGAGGAGCTTTATGCATTCATGCTGAGTTAGTGTGATCTTAAAGGCTTTTCTCTCGTTCTCCGTTACACTCCTCATCTAATCTGCTCTGGTGCCCAGGAAACTAGGCTGGCGTTGCGTGTTTCATCCATCCTGTCGGTCTTGGAAGGGAGATGCTTTGCTGTTTTGAATCAAAACAAGCTTTTCCTTCATCTCTGTTGAACTCTGGAATGTCTTGGACACTGTTGTTGGCCCATGGTTATCAGTCAGTCCTGCACCTTGGTTAGCACAACCGATGACTTCCCAAGTCCTCTGTCAACTGCTCCATCTTTGTAGTCATGCCTGATTTCAGCTGTAGGCTTAACCAGCTTCTTTACTGTTGTGCCACCTTCTGTCTGTCCCAGTCTGTGCAATTCAGCTGCAGTTGCTGTTTGTGGCTTCCATAAAGTTCTTGTTCTTGGCCTGTACGGCGCAGGAGACCTGCAGGGATTGAGGAGCACTGGGTCAGTCTCACCAGCAGTCACTGCTCCATGAGGTGATTCCAAGCATCAGCTTTTAGTAAGGGCTGATTAGTTAGCATTGCTGCTTTGCCTGAGGTGTGTGTCTGCGTCTCTCAGCCTAGTGGCCCATGTCTTGTACTAAAATAATAGTGATAAAAACCAACCCCTTCTGTTTTGCCAGCTCTTGAAGTAATGAGCAGGTGTACTGTGTGTCCGCAGGAATGTGTGGTCTTTGATGAGCAAATAGTTGGTCATTTTCAACATCTGTCAGCAGTGATACTGACATGCTGTTGCTTTTTGTGAGGGTTGTGAGGAGTCTTTCTGCAAGAGACCGTTTCTTAATTTTTATAAGAAAAAATAGCTACAAATACATCTCTTAATGAAGTTTCAGAAGGCACAAGACTTCCTTCCGCGCTCCTGTATTTGTCTGAGATGACTACCTGCAACCATAAGTGTAGGAGGACTGAGTTTTCTTGTCTATCAGTGACCAATGTATTTTCCTTCCTGTTTGGGTATGGAAATGGCATGTTTTCATTCTTCAAATCCAAGTCAAAGCCAGGCTTTTGGGGAGTAGCTTATATCCTGTAAAAAAAATGTTGCCTAAATCCTACTTTTGGCAAAATTGAGGGGTGTCTTTCTACAGGGAGAAGCAACATAGGCTGAAGTATAAGAGATGGTTGGGAAGGGAGGGTCTGAAATCAAAGCTTTTGAAATCAATAGTGGTGTAAATGCACCAATGCAGCTGTCTGGGGAGAGAGACCTGAGCAGATAACACTTAGGGCTGGTGGGCTGGAGGGAGCGATGCAGAACACCTGGGAGCAGGATTCTGGGTGTTTCCACCTGACTTGGAGTTTATGAAACATTTTATGCACGTGGCTGGTGCCTGAATGCCCTGTGGTGTTATCTTTCAACAGTGCCACCGAGGAATCGGGCAGGAGGCGGGGATGCAGAAAGGTTTTAAGTAGTTGCACACTCCTGGAGAGCTGAACTTAGCTTGAGCTCAGGCTGTGATTGAAGATGGGCTTGATATTTAATCCCATGTGTGTCACTTGTGCTCCAGGGGCTGAATAATGGTCAGTCGTGCCCTTGGCGTGACAGCTTAGCATCGAGGAACAAGTGATGTGGAGAAATGGAAATGAGTGCTCTCCTCCTGGCTCTGGCTACCTGCATGTCCCACCCAGGCTGCTCCACAGATAGAGAATTCCATTTCTGTCTCTGAATGGTAGAATGTTACAAATGACTCCAGCACTGTCCTTTGTTTTAATGCCAACTTGCTCTTATGTCACAGCTGCTGTTGAGAGCCAAGATACGGTCATGTTATTATGAAGACTGTTATGAAAGAGGAAATTAGAGTGGAATACTGTGTAGTGAGTAGCCATGCTCTAGTTGTGTGACCTTGTGAATGAGAGTGCTCAGTGGTACATAATTTCTCTTCTGTAACTAACGGCCAGGTTGTTTGTAATTTCCCATGCTGTTTAAAACAGGGTTCTCATGTATCAGCCATCTACTGTCAGAGTGCCCAGCGTGACAACGGTCGATGCTGCTGCTCTTCCTCCTTCATTAACCGACTACCCGGTACCATTCCATCACCCACCAATATCCAGTATTTCATCAGACTTGCCAGGTAGGTGGTGGCTGTTTTTCACTTATATTCTTGACAGCCTCATTAATTTGTGGGGTGGGTGAAAACTGGGAGGATCGATCAGCTTTTTAAACGGAACGAGACTGTACGCAGCGTCGCGCTGACGCCATGTCTAGACAAGCCCAGTACAGGCTGTCTTTCCAGTTTCAGATTTCACTGTGCAACAGCGATGTGAAAAACGTTGCTTTTGGGGTACAAATTGGCACTTTGAAACGCTTCTCGCTATATTCAGTTAGACTGTGTGTGTAAACACCTGGTTGTTACACGTCGTAGATGCAAGAGTAAGAGTAGCTGCTTAATTGAAGTTATAGAGGTGTGATGGCACTGACTCATCCCAAACCTGGATGTAGAGATATTCTGCTAGCTGATTCAGGTTGCCCAAAGAAGCTGTGGCTGCTCCTCCCTGGAAGTGTTGAAGGCCAGGTTGGATGAGGCTTTGAGCAACCTGGTCTAGTGGAAGGTGTCCCTGCTGCTGGCAGGGGGGTTGGAACTGGATGAGCTTTAAGGTCCCTTCCAACCCAAACCAGTCTGGGATTCTATGATTCTAGTGGTGCTCTGTCTAGACTGTGTGAAAAAGGTTAAGGTGAGCTACAATATGTAAGCTGACCTCTATTGACTTTCTTTACCTAGACATACCCTAAATGCCTATGATGTATTCTTCAACACTGCCGCTAAATATCAGACAAAAGGTGGGGACACTGTTTTCTCTCCTGGCTCCTTGAAAAGAACACTGTATCATAGGGACTCTGGGGGTTCTCTTTGCCGGCTGTAACGAACCCAGAGCCCAGGAAATGGTGATTTGTGGTGACAGGTGTCACACTGGCCTCCTGTACTTCCCTCCTTCCCCTCCATTGCCTGTCTCCATTTCTCCCTTGCAACATCTCTGGGTTTTTTCCTCTTCTTTCAGCACCAGTTTGGCAATGAGATGGATATCATTCCCCTTGTTTCTCTGTCCATTTTGGCTCCCTCGCTGCTCCCTCCCTCCACTTCTCCCTTGTTAAGCAATTGGTTTTCTTCCTAAATTGGAGAAGAGAATTAAGCTGAGAGAATGGAAATCTAGAAGTGTTTTGTCCATCTCCTATTGACTGAAATTCTAGAAACGTGCAAGAACAAAAAAACCTGTAAATTCTGTAAAAGCAGCTGAGCTTAAATCTTCAAAATTTTTCTCTAATGGAGGAGGAGAGATGCCACTGGCCAGAACAGATTTGGAGGTGAGGGGACAGGGAGGGAGTAAGCTTACCATTTCTTTCTGTTGACATAGCAAACACAAGGCCAATATTTAGAAACAAAACCGAAACAGGCTGTAATTTCTCATTGATTTCATAATTTTAAACATCTTGCCCTGAATGCTTAACACGCTAATGGTGTATAAGATGGACGCTAGTTGTCACTGCTCTTAGAGGATATACGTTGAACTACTTGTAGTTTCCTCTTCTTCATTCCTTTTATTTGTCTAGACACAAAACGGGGATGATATTAGAAATGTTTCCTTATTGGCTGCCCGTGGGTGGAGGAAGAGACCTGCTGCTTGTTTTTGGACTTGTGCATGTTGTGACTTTACTTCATTCCAGCATCTTTAATGTGATGACACTCTTCATGTCCCAGTTTGGCCAAAGTCAGGTACAATATGCAGTGAAACTTGCATTATGAATCAACAGCTCCGAATGGCAACCTCCATCTAAGCAACCGCATTGAACCACCCTGCAATATCCAGTGAATAATAATACATCATTATGTCATTCTCATTCTTAAAAAAAGAGCCACTTATACTAGATAACTCGTTTTGCTGCTGCCTGAAGTAGTCGTTGAGAGTGGTGTCACAGTGGTATATTCCATCTAGAAACTGTGTAACAATTACAAAATCTGTTCTACGACCACAAAAAAAAAAAAAAGAAGTTCCTTAGATTTGTTGTCTATGAATAAAACAAAACACTCATCAATTTGTTATCCTTCTCTTCTTTTCTAGGTCTGGATTTTCTTTCACTAATCCCAGTTGATTCACAGGTATGTTTCTGAACTGCTGTGGGGTTAATTTCTCTGTCTGGTTTTTGTGATAGAAGTAACTATCGGGGTGCAGTCATCATCCGTACCATGTTCACAGTCCACGTGGTTAGACCCAACCACAGGCCAGGAAAATCCAACGGGAGGTGGTGCTGAAGATGCAGTGAGGGAGGATTCAGTTTAGCCTCACTGTGACAGATCCAGGCGTGGACACTCGCTCCTCTGTTGATAGTTTGCCTTTCTAAAGCGGATACTTGCACAGCACTAACCTGAGTACGCCCATCGTGTGCTTCACGCTCTTAGTTCCTCCTGTGGATCTGCAGGCTGGATTAAGATCTGTAAATATACCTCACTGGTTGGAGATTATGTTTGAAAGAAAATATCTTCATTAATTTCATGGGCACACGACTGAACGCTTTTGTAATGAATCCCTCCATGTAACACCTGAACACCATTGGGTTTGGACTACATAGGAGTTTCCTGCACCCAGAGCAGCGTGGGCAGCAGGTCGAGGGAGGTGATTCTCCCCCTCTACTCTGCTCTCATGAGGCCCCACCTGCAGTGCTGCCTCCAGTGCTGGAGACCCCAACACAAGACATGGACCTGTTAGAACGAGTCCAGAGGAGGCCACGAGGATGATGCAAGGGCTGGAGCAGCTCTGCTGTGAGGACAGGCTGAGAGAGTTGGGGCTGTTCAGCCTGGAGAAGAGAAGGCTCCAGGGAGA